GCTATAAAACGTCTTTAACACTTGTTTTTATACACGGTATAGCTTTCCCCCCAAATCAGTTCTGCACATGAGTTGTTTTGTTTTGAAATCTTATTCCATTATTTAGCTGGGACCGCTTAAACTGATGCCATTTTAAAAGCTGTGTGTGGCACTGTGCTGCAGAATGACAGAGTTTACTAGAAATCTGAGAGGAAAAGACGCTGTGCTGAGGTGCTCCGGTTGACTCAGACTTCAACTCTGCCAAGTGTCCAATCTCCTAACTAAATGAAACAACGGCAATGCCCTAGTGTTGCTGTGGTAACTCAAAATAGACTCAAAATAAAGGTGAGGATGGAGAGATGGCCGAACAGTTAACAGCACTGGTTGCTCTTCCAGAGGACGGAGGTTCAATCATAGTAACTACAGTTCCAAGAGATTCAATAACCTTTTCTGATCCCTACAGGCACTAGACACATGTGTGCACAGACATGCATACACATACAAAAACACCCAAACACATAAAATAAAATATACATATATACTTAAAGATAAATACATAATAGCCTTGATCCAAAAAGAAAGGGTATGGTAAACATGAATGGGAACACAATTTCAATTCATAGCTTAATACAGAGCTCCCTCTGCTGGCACAGAGGAAGTACAACAATCCCAATACTGGCAATTCACACAGGAATTTGACCTTCACTTTTGCCATCAAGAGAATTTCTTCTAGAACCCTCGCTCAAAAAATAACAGAAGAGACCGGGTGGTGATGGTGTACGCCTTTAATCGCAGCACTTGGGAGGCAGAGGCAGGCGGATCTCTGTGAGTTCAAGGCCAGCCTGGTCTACAGAGCGAGATTCAGGACAGGCACCAAAACTACACAGAGAAACCCTATCTCGAAAAAACCAAAAACCAAAACAAAACAAAACAGAAGTCTGCCCTGCACATATTCTACAGACTAACAAGAATTGCCAATACGTTTTCAGACAAGTACAATTAGCTAATGTTCTCTCTCTTCAGATTTTAGCTAAGGGCTGGGACTGTACTTAATGTTTTTGTATATACAGTATTCTATCTATAAATACCATGTTTGGGAAAATTACTGAATATAGTTTATTATTTTTTTGGGCCTGGTTCCTAGTAGTGGAATTTACTGGGTCAAAGGTTTGACTTTTTCTTTTAAGATTTAGTTTTAATTATGTGTACATAGCAAGAGGTCTGTTTATGTGTGAGTACAGGTATCTGCAAAGTCTAAAACGAATACTGATCCCATGAAGCACTACTTACAAGTGGTTGTGAACCACCTGATATGGGTGCTGGGAACTGAACTCGGGTCCTCTGGAAGAACAGCAAATGCTCTTAACTGCGGGGCAATCTCTCCAGCCCCAAATCTGAACTTTTTAAATGCCTGATACACAAGGCATTCCAGAAGTGTTTTCAATTTATGAATCTACCAATAGCATTACCACTCCTTCATAGTCTCAGAGATAATGAATCTGAGCCCCCAACCGGACAAAAGGAACTATGTTGCTGTTGAAGACAAGAGGCTAGTGGTTACCTTGCAAACCATGACCTGAAAGGTGAAGAGTAGAGGAGACGTTGAGAACACTGCCTGCAAATGTCCCTCCCTCTCAGCCACAAGAAGCTACCCTGAGTTCCTCACCTCCCCAAGCTCCTGGTGAGGCTCCGTGGGAAGGGCTCCCTCTGCCGGAGTACCTCCAGTTACTGCCCGCTGCCAAGCTGGCAGCCTTTCTCCCATGAAGAGCCCCAGTGGACGTTAAATACCCTTCTACTACACTTTGACAACACCCTTGGCTTACCCTGATATTAGAACTCATTTCCTTCACTGAACTGGATGGCATCTGGGATCAACTAAGAGATACAACAATGAGGAGTCAGTCTGTGAGGGCATTTGTGAAAAGGACTGACTGAAAAGAAGTCTCTCCCTGAGAGGGGACAGCAACACCTGACAGCTCAGATCCAGAGAGGTCTGAGGCAAAAAAACAGTCTTGCTGTCTGGGTTTCTTACTAGTACACCTGTCCCTGCTGCTGCTGCTGCTGCTGCTGCTGCTGCTGCTGCTGCTGCTGCTGCTGCAGCCACTCTCCCTGCCATCCCGCACACCCGTCCCTGCTGCTGCTGCTGC